ATGTGTAAGACCTGTATAACAAAAACTGTAATACACTGCTGAAAAATTTTAAAATATATACATAAATGGAGAGAGATACCATATTTGTGGATAGGAAGACTCAATATTATTGAGATGTCAATTCTACCCAAATTGATCTATAGATTCAATACACTCTCATTCATAACCCCAACAGGCTTCATTTTTAGAAGTTGACAAATAGATTCTAAAATTTATATGGGAATGCAAAGGACCTATAATATTCCAAGTGATTCTGAAAAAGAACAAAGTTGGAGGTCTTAAACTACCTGACTTCAAAACTTAACAATAAACCTAGAGTAAGCGAAACATGGTAGTAGACACATAGATACATACGACATACAGATAAACAGGCCAAAGTAACAGAATAGAGTCCAGAAATAGACCCACGCTTATTAGGTCATTTGGTTTCTGATAAAGACACCAAATCAATCAAAGGGGAGAAATAAAATTCTTTTCAACAAATGGTACGGAACAATCAGATACCCCTATGATTTAAAAAAAACTCATTCCTTACCTCACGCAATAAACAAAACATAATATGAGATAGATCATAGGCCTAAATGTAAAATCTAAAACTATAAAGCTTTTTGGAGAATATTATCTGTATAACCTGGGGTTAGGTAAGATTTCTTAGATAAGAAACAGAAAGTAATTATCATAAGAGAAAACATGGGAAAAAATGGAATTTATCACAATTAAAAACCCTATTAATCAAAAGATGCCATAAAGGACATGCTTAAGTAAACTACAGACTGGGATAAATTATTTGTAAAATACATATCTGACAAAAGGACTTTAAGCAGAACAGATGAAGAATTCTTAACAATAACAAAGACACAAAAAAAGAATAAAACAATGTGGGTAAATGGTATGAAGAGACACTCAGCAAAGGAAGACACACAACTGAGTTATGAGACCAGCAACACTGCTCAACGCCAGTGACCAGTCAGGAACACAGAAATTAAAAACACAGCGAAATACACACCAGAATAACTGAAATTAAAAAGACCTTCAACATCAAGTGTGGCAGAGATGTGGAACCACCAGAACTCTCTTACATTGCTGGTAGAATGTAAAATGGTATGACCGCTTTGGGAAAAGGTCTGGCAGTTTCTCAGAACTAAAGTAAACACACACCTACCCCATGCTCCAGTAATTCCACTCCTAGATATTAACACAAAAGAATGAAAATGTAAGTCTACAGAAAGACATGAAAGAATGTTCCCAGCAGCTTCTTCATGATAGTCAAAACTTGGAAACAAATGAAAAACAGACAACTCTGCTGTATTTAAATGACACTTAAAATTAGGAAGGTATCAGAATCTTGAAGAAGGAAAAAAAGTACAGTTTGAAAAAAATCTCTTCATGTGATTCTGATACTCACTGCTAGAAAGACACTCCATGTTTTAAATAACCAACTTGCAAATGAGATTTTGGAACACAATTTATATGAAAGCATTTTCTGAGGCACACACACAGTCAGCCACCGGAGCGTGTCTGCCGCGGTTCTGTCCCGGGCTTTCCAGAGCAGCTATGCAGCTGCCTCCCATTTAGAATGAAATCCATGCATTACATTGATAATATTCGCGTATGACTTTTATATGGTTTTCTTGGACACTCTTCACCTTTCCAAATTTAATTTTATTTACCCAGTGTTGGCATTTGTTTATAGTGGCTGAACCAACTTAAATTGCTAACGCCCTAGGGTTCAAATGTGGTTAGAAGGTTCTGCTTTTACCCTTATTGCTGTCAGATAATAAAGAGCTGATTCTGACTACTCATGAAAATAGCTCCCAGTTACTGGGTCCACAAATGTAATTTGTTAGAAAATCGTTTACAATTAAAAAAATTCCGAATACAGTATAGAATAGTGTTAAAACCTTGACTTTTTCCCCCCAAAAAACATTTAAAACTTTGGTCCCCAACGCCCGGGCTGTGGCCCAGTACCCGTCTGTGGCCCGTTAGGGACCAGGCCACACAGCAGGAGAGTGAGCAACACTTCACTTGTGTTGAGAGCCACCCCCATGGCTCACGTCATGCCTGAGCTCCACCTCCTGTCAACGTCAGCGGCTGCATCAGCTTCAGGAAAACAATCTCAGGGCTCCCACTGATTCTGCATTATGGTGAGTTGTATAGTTATTTCATTATGTATCACAATGTAATAATAATAGTGCATGATACATGTGATGTGCTTGACTCATCCTGAAACCATCCCCCCTGCCCCCACCGCCCCAGTCCGTGGAAAAACTGTCTTCCATGAAACCAGTCCCTGGTGCCAAAAAGGTTGGGGACCACTGATCTTAAATACCAAATAATTTTAAATTAGCAAATGAGATATGTTCACACACAGAAAATACTAAAGCATGATTAGCATCTACAGAAAGGGAAAATAAATTTTGTAAATCAGGACTCAACTTACAGCTTTATTTATGAAGGATATTAATATTTTATGCCTTTATAAACATACCTGAAGAACTTACATGCCAGGATGAGAAATTTTAAAGTTTGTTATTATGTAAAATTTAAACATTTCCTACCTAATTTTAAGAGATAGCTTTAATGAATGTAGACGGTTTTAATTTAAGTATAACTTAAGAGAAAATACAGCCTAGGGCTGTGTGTCCATAGCATCAGCCCCCGCCCCCTTGCCTCGGTCAACACAAACCCTGCGGCCCACTCACTGACAGACAGATGTAAAGAAAGTACATCTCGTGGTCTGTGTATCCCCACCAGGCAGGCAGGGCTAGTCTAAATTTATTTTCTGTAGTTCACACTATGAAGAAAATACATTTTTATTCTCCATTGTAAAAGTATATTATATCTACTTTTTCTTTTTTTCAAATTTTTCATTGATACATAATAATTATACACATTTATGGGGAACATACGATATATTGACACACGCATACAATGTGTAATGATCAAATTAAGGTATTTAGGATGTCCATCACCTTAAACATTTATCATTTCTTTGTGCTGGGAACATTTCAAATCTTCTCTTCTAGCTATTTTGAAATATACAATAACATGCTTTTTCAAGTTCCATGAATGTCTCCCTGCCCCAAGCAGATTCTGATGTTCCTTTCCCTTCCTCATGTTTGAGGATCTTAGTAGAGGACACGATGAAGTTTTCATGACTAAGTATGCGGTCTTGCCATCTTTGGTGCTATAGAGGGAAAGCTCTGTGTGGCATCAGCAGGGCAGGGAAAGGCGTCCAGTGCAGAAGCCCTGCAGGGAGCAGCTGGCCTGAGTCGTCTGTGGCCTGTCAGCAGCAGAGCAGGGCTGGGCTTGCTCCCTGGGTGACTAGCAGGGGTGGGAACTGTGGTGGCCACTGTCAACAGCGATGATGGAAATGGAGCTGCCCCAATGAAGGGCTCCCAGGAGGCCCTGGGTCCTGATAGTCCTTGCTGTCCCCAGCGCTCAGTTGCAGCAGACTGGGAAAGCAGCCCCACCAAGAGTCACCAGCCGCCTTATGATGCTCTTTAGCGTAAAAGGAGCAAAGGAGTTTGACAAATAGAAGCCTTTGAATTCTAGCAGTTATACACTTGTTTTGAATGTCAAAGGGTCCCTGTTTGTACTGTCAATATTATGCTCACACATTATTGTTGGACATTTATAATATTGTACACTTATCTTTATGACACTGAAGTTACAATTGCTCCAAAACTCTAAAAATGGGGAGGCAGTGATTTGAACAAGATTATGTTTTAATTTAAAAGCGGGGGTGTTGTTAAGAAGATGAATCATTAAGGTCTTCTGACTTTCAAAGTGTATATTTCATCGTGCTTCGTTTTTACCAAACAGCATAACTTTCTGAGTTATTTGCTTAAGTGCTGACTTTTATGTTATTTGAATATTTTTGGTATTGCTGTAGGAGAACTAAAAAATTCTAAGAAATTAGCCTAAATCATGAGAGAGAGAATTCCCTACAATTTTTCTAAATAATTTATTACAGTCAGTAATAAAGAAAAAATAAAATCGACTCAGGTATCAGTTCTTTTGTTATTTTCAGGTAGAAATGTGAGTTCTCTTCCATTAATCTCATCTATCTATCCAAAGCTAGGAGACCCTGCCGAAATACTGTGTTAAACAGAGCAATCATTGTGTTACAGGTATACACCTGTATTAATATACAAACAATAATCCCCGGCAAACTACTATAAAGATGTATTAAATGAAAAATAAAATTGTAAAAGAAGCATTATTTGCTTTCAACTTACATGATAAATCTTAGTCCAGAACAGAGATCAATAGCATTCTTAATATTGTACCCAAATATATTTAGAGCTTACTAGAATTAATCAGTGAAGGTACTGCCTATCTTGCTATAGTACCTCAGATGTATAAAAATTTGAGCACCACACCACACCTATCTCTTGTGAATAACAATTTTAAACTCAAATTTAAGAACTTTCAGATAATAATAATAATTAATGATCCAACAATAAAGGCTTATTCAAGCAAGAAAATAAAATGATGTGAACACAAAAACCACTTTGGTTACAATGCTGTGCCCCACTTCCTGGATACACATGCTCACTAGAATGAAAATCACCACTATCCTATCATCTAGGTCTGCAGTCCCCGATCCTCTGGCCGCAGACTGGTACTGGTCAGTGGCTTGTTAGAGACTGGACCTCTCCCCCCACGGCCCCCTCAACCTCCCTCCTCCCGGGTCTGTGGAAAAACTGTCTTCCATGAAACTAGTCCCTGGTGCCAAAAATGCTGGGGACCCCTGTTCTAGGTTTTCTTTCACACATAATATAAACCCTATTAAAACACAGACACTTATTCTTGTGGCACTAACTGTAGTGGTGACGAACAGTGAAACAGACTTTCTATGTATTTTGCAAAAAAATTAATTCTAGAAAGTTTTTAGTGTGTAATCTAATGGGCTTACCAAAATCAAACTGAAAACTGGGTGATGAAAGCTGGATTTGTGCACAGCAGGTACCTGTGACATGATGGGAAGCACTGACCTTATATGCCTGCACGAGCGTGTGGATGACACCCGGGGCCCCATGGCACCAGTGGACCAAGCGATCGGTTTCGTTGCTTAATGATGACGGATAATTCCCAGATCGGAATTTTTTGTGGCGCACATAATCAATACTGGGTTTCACCATTTCTGTCAAGGTTTCATGGTCCACTTTTGCTGCTGGCTTTAAACAAACAAAAATATATTGTTTATTTTTTCTGAGTTTTTTTCCACTATTGTTTTGTAGCTAATAAAGCATCATTTACATGGAATACTGAAGAGCATATAAAATTAGAATTGACTGAATTATCTGGTTATTTAAGACTTAGGCAAATCTTTTCTAATTCTTTTTGAAATCTTTCGAAAATCTATTAGTGTTATAATATATTGAACATATTTCATTTTTTCTTTGCTGAATCAGGATTGTCATCCTATAGAGCAGTAAGAGAGACAAGAGAGACTAGACTGAATCTCAGGTGAATCTAGGACTCTAGGGATTTTGTTTTATTGTTTTGCTCTGCTTAAATACTCATCCCCAATTTCCTACCATATGGATTTGCCTCCTAAAAAGCCAAGTACTTCACTTCTCCCCAATCTACTTAACTGGCTTTGCAAATTAACCTCTAAAATAGGGTAATCATAGTACTTACTGCTAAGGTGGTGATGAGGAGTAAAGGAGAAAAACATGCATGCTTCCTCCCTCACCCAGTAATCTGTGCGTAATGACAGCGTGTATTTACTGAAGGCATTCACTAAACATTCACTAAACCTATTAGAATTTATTACTGAATTTGTGTTAAAGTTTTACTATAGGGACTAAGACTAAAAATATACTTGGAAAATGTTTACTGATTTTGAGGCATTGTCTTTAAAAAGGACTTAAAGAAAAACATTCAAGGAGTCTCAAGTCATTGCACAGATTCCCACGAACAACCTGGTGGTAACAATCGGGTGGCAAGGCCTCTAGTGTGACGTGTCAGCAAGCCACCCAAATCTGCACCGCTGGCACAGTCCGGAGCAGAGATTTGTCTCTGGCCATTGATTTAACTTTCACTTGGTTTTAGTGACAGATGTTACAACTGTGAAATGAAATATAGTATTGTTAAAAATTCTTATCATTCTATTACAGTTAAAGAAAACCCACAACATGGATTTCTCCTATAAAATAAATCCACGACATAGGTATTGCCTATAAAATAAAATTAAAACCTCATTTCTTTAACAGAAAGTTAATTTTGTTAAACAAAAAGAGACAAGGAGTATCAATGCTTCTAAACTTCACTAAAGTAAATCTATTTTAACATTTTGAAACATAGTTACTTATTAGATAATCTTTGTTTTTTCTGACACATACTTAGAAAATATATTAGCTTTTTTAAAAGCTATAGGTCATAGATCATATTTCCAAAAGGCTAAACGTAACTTTAAAAAATACTTTTATACAGATAATACATTTACAGTTTAAAAAGTCAAAAAAATGTTAAAAAAGCTTTTCAAAGACCAACAGGCATTGTCCCCTCCCAGGACACAGCGCAGCCCCCACCCCCACCTTCCTTTAGCTGTTTCTCCACATCACCGCCACATTTCTATAGAACCCACGCGTAACTGTGTCCTAACTTACTAATTGTGGACGTCACCTCTGGCTTCCTCTGTGGCCCATGAGGACACTTTCCCTCCTCTAATCTTCCTAAGAGAACTTCGTTCTGATCACCATTTTTATCCACCTTTACTCTGTTTGTAGACTAGACTATATAAATATCGTTTGCTGCTGAGACAAGAAATTATACAAAATTACATGTATTCTTTTATTCCTATTAGTTTTTCATGAAGTTTGCAACTTTCTCACATTTTCATTTGCTTAGTTTTTTCTGAACCACTACCTAAGCTTTTTCACACCCACCAACAGCTCCATAAAAAGTCTCTCAATATAATTTTCCACACAGTCAAATCTATCGTGATTTTTTTCTCATGGAGGTGTCTCTCCATTCTCTTAATCCAATCGTAATCAACTGCTTTCTAGGTCCTCTGAGCCACTGCTGTCCTGGGATTTCCACCTGCCGGCTTCTTGGGGATGCCATCCCCTCTCCTGGCACAGGGCCCCTTGCTCCTGGACCTGCCCTTGCTCTTTCTTAGTGTGACCCCTTGCTTTGGCAGGTGCCACACTCCAGAAGCTTCCTGAGATGGGGTGCAGGGAATTAAACTTTTGAGAGTAAATGTTTAAAATAGTTTTTGTTCTACCCTACATTTAATTGATTTTCTGGGAAGAACTCAATGTTGGAAGTCATTTTTACTCAAAACTTGGAAGGCACTTCCACTGATCTTTCATCTTCAATAAAACTGTTGCAAAGTCCAACGCCATTCTGATTTCCAACCTTTGTACACACACAACCTGCTTTTTCCTTACTGAAGTTTTAAGCATTGTCTCTTTATTACCTCATCTTATGCTTTCGCAGTGATAGGCACGATGTGGGGTTGGTTTTATTCCACTCATTGTGCAGGAACTTGGTGGGTCTTTTCTATATAGCAACTCATGTCCCTCAGTTCTAGAACATATTATTATTTTTTTTGATATTTCCTCCCTACCATTTTGTGTTCTCCCTTTCTAGAACTCCTACTAATCAGATGTTGGGCCTCCTGGATTAATCCTCTTATTTTCTTATATATTCCTCTCCCATTGCCTATTTCTGTCTGCTTTCTAAGATATTTGACTTTTATTTCCAAACATGTTCATAATTTTTTTAAAAATTCATCTATCATATTTTTAATTTTCAAGAGCTCTTTTGTTCTCTCAAATGTTTCTTGGATATAATAGCTGCTCCTATTTTCCTGAGGATATTATTAGTTATGGTTTCTTTAAAGTTTTCTTTCTCTTCCTAGATAATCTGTTTTCTCTTTGTTGATTTTTTTTTACTTGTTTAGGTCTCTATCTTTCAAGTTGGAGGCTTTTCTCAAATGTCTGGAAAGTCTTTGGCTGCTAGTCTATACTTATACATAAGGTAGTGTAAACTAAAAATAAAATCCTAATCCCACCTGCTGACTGAACAGACCCCATCGTGGCTAAGGGGACCCCAGAACAACCTTAAAACTGAGTTTCTGGCCCTAAAGGGAAGCGAGGTTTGGACATGCCTATTATACACCCTTCCTTTTGGAGTTTAGATAAAACTAACCAGCATTAATGTTAAAATCAGGGACCATAAGACTGACAAAACAGACTCTTTATGACCCTAAGATACTGAATTATCAGCAGGACCTAAGGCCATGCCAGGCAAAGGTTAAATAAAACCTGTAGTCCATCAATTTATTTAACAGATCACTTTTGAGTCTATCTTGTGACTTGTCTCTGTTTAACAGACCTCCTTATCTTAAAACATTCCATGCCTTCAGATAAAGCTTTATTTCTTTAACCAATTACAAATTAAGGAATCTTTAAACCCACCTACAACCGTAAGTCTCCTTACTCTAACTTTGAGATGTTCCACCTTTTCGGGCCAAACCAATGTATACCTTCCATGTATTGATTTATGATTTTACCCATGAGTCCTGTCTTCCAAAAATGTATTAATATAAAACCAAATTGTAACCTGGAAGCCTGGGGACCACTTACTCAGGTCTTGGGTATGACTCCCCGGTCGACAGTCACTCATGTTCAGCTCAGAATAAACCTCTTAAAATTACTTTATAGAGTTTGGGGTTTTTTGCCTTCTGCAGTAGTACAAAGCTCACTGGATAAACTGCGCACAGGAGGGACTTGTCAAATAGTAAAAGTCACTTTAGAGTGACTAGATGGTATATCAGTCAGGGTTCTTCAAAGAAACAGAACCAACAAGATGTGTGTCTATATACATAGAAAGAGATCTCCTTTAAAGAACTGGCTGCACAGGTGTGAGGTGCCCAAAATCTGATTGGGGTAGCCAGCAGGCTGAAGACTCCAGAGAGAGCTAAGTTCAAATCCAAAGGCAGCCAGCTGGAGAGCACCCTCCTGCTGCGGGAGGGGTGTCAGCCTCTTGCTCTATTCGTGCCTTGCACTGACGGATGAGGAGCACCCACGTCCTGGAGGACAATCTTCCTTGCTCAAAGTCCACCAACGTAAATGTAAATCTCATTCAAAAATACCCTCACAGAAATACCCACACCAATGTTCGACCAGATGCCTGGGTGCGATGGCTCAGCCAAGTTGACACACAGAATTAACCATCACAGGCTAACTTTTTAAATGGGGACTTTCAAGTGCTTATGTCTATAAAACTCGTATCTGAGCCAGTTGCATCTTCAAACCCACTGCAGTGAGAGAGGTGGTGGTGCGCGAGCCAGCCGGGGCAGCAGGACGGCCCCACCGTTCACCATGTGGACATTGTCTCGAGCCCCGATCACTAGTGCTGGGCTTCCCTGCAACTCTCCTCCTGAATCAAGCAGGGGTTCATTCCCTCCAGACCTAGCTCCTTTTGTCTCCAGCAGGAGATAAGGGGAGGAACAGCACTTCACTGTGCTGGGTGGGCACACTAATAGAGGTCCAACTGCTCCTTATGTTCTGAGAAATAAAAGTAAAATGCTAAGCCCCCCAACCGACTGAACAGATCCCCTCTTGGCCAAGGGGACCCTAGAGAAACCTTTATGATTGAGATCCAGACCAGGACAGGATGGGAGGTGAGACACACCTCTGTTACCCTCCCTCATAACCGAACTTGGGCTCTCTTCCCGGGGGGCCAGACAGAGCCAGCTGGACAGATGCTCCCTCCTGATTTCACCCAGCCTGTGGGCATCCCTCTCCTTTGTGGTTTCAGGAGAGCAACAGACCAGCATTCCTCCCTGATGAGAGACCACTGACTGTGGAGTGGTCTGGCCAGTCTTCAGAGGCTACACACAGAGGGCCTTCATGCCCTTGGCTTCACCTTTTGGTGTCACAGAACTGAAAACTCTACCCTCAGATCGTGCTAATGCCACCAATTTTTGAACATGGGACACATGAAGTAGCATGAAGCTCACCTGTGCATGTGTGTGTTTCTCCTTGCATAAATATCCATGACTCCTCCAGTAGTTTATTAAGTATGTATATTCGGCCACCCCACCCAGCATAAATTCCTGTTCCCTCCACCCTTCCCTGGAAGTGCTTGCTCTTGGTTTTCACCAAAGGCTGTGCTTCCCAGCCTGCAAGATGGGTACCTGCAGGCTGCAGCCTCTATGAGAAATAAAGCTCTCCTTCCCAAATTTATGAACTTCATCATTCTTCAGTTGACAGTTCAAAGGCCTCCTGCTACCCAGACCTCACTCCCCACAGGGACACACATCTGGTACTGCCTTCTATGGGATGTGTCACTTTAAATTCCTAAGTTCTAGGGTTCTGTGGCACGAACTGGTTGGCTTCTCACTGGCGACCTCCTTTTGAGGCACCATGCCCAATCTCCTTCCATCCTGGCAGGCTGTGTGCCATTCTCCACCTACTCTCAGTTTACATATTTGTCGTCTGGGGCTCCAGATGTCTCTGACTCTAAACAAAGAATTTGGGTTTCTGCTTGTTGTTTTTCTGGTTGTTTTGAGATGCCTTTCAAAAGAAGAACTGTCTTTATTCTGCCATCATGAAAGTGGAGTTCTGTTTAAGTGGTATTTTAAAAGTTTTTGCATGCAATTGTTCCGACAGCCTTCTAAATGACAGCATACAGTGGGAACTCCTACTTGCACACAACTGCACTGCTCGGCGCAGGGCGGAGCAGAGACACTGCGCGCAGCCGCTCTCAGCCAGCTCCGTCACACCTCTGCTTAACCGCCTCTCAGAAAAATTGATATAAATTTCTAAATCAAAGTTACTAAGCAGTGTTTCCACATTCTTCACTTTAAAAGCAGATGAGCAGAAAATTTTATGATTTGTATTTCTCTCAAGGAAACCCCTAATATGTAAGCACCTCACTCTAAACCACTTTGCTGTGGTTCTCACATTATTTTTTTCTCTAAGGGTGTTATTACGAAAAAAACAAAAAGGTTTCTGAACCACTGTTAAAACACTTTTCTGGGAAAACAGAGAATATAGAGAACACACTGCGATGGTGACTTTTCTGTGTCAACCTGACAGGGCCACAGAGGACCCAAATCAGAAATTATTTCCGGGTCTGTCTGTGGGGGTGTCTCCAGATAAGATGAGCATTTGAATGGTGGGTGCCGTAAAGCAGACGGCCCTTCCCAAGGCAAGTGGGCACCACCCAACCCACCGGCCTGAACAGAATAGAAGGCAGAGGAAGAAGCAATCTGCCCCTGCCTGCCTGCCTGCTGGAACAGGGACCTGGGGCTTCTCCAGGCCTTGGACTGGGATTTACACCGTCAGCTCTCCTGGGCCTCTGGTCTCCTGGCCTGGACTGGAGTTACAGCACCGGCTCTGCTGGGTCTCAAGCCTGCAAATGGCAGGTCCTGGGGCCTCCTGGCCTCCACAATCACATGAGCCAATATAGCCTGTTGGTTCTGTCTCTCTGGAGAACCCTGACTAATACACACACAAAGTCTACTACATGGTTCAGAATAACAGCACCCTTTTTAAATGAGATATGGAATTCTGGTTATTTTGGAACTGTGTACCTGCACTATGAAAAAAATTCACAAATTAGAATACGTATATGTTTTACTTTCTACAACAATAAACAAATACAACTAATTACTAGAAAAGGAAGTTTTAATCTTGTGTAGATACGAATTTCCTATTTCCTTTAGTGAGTAGAAACATGAAGTAGTGGGTTAGATAAAAAAGGAATGTGAAGTAAAATTTTAAAAAATAACATTTGGGCTTTTCAGTCAAAGATATCTAAATTCTAATCTACGTTCCTGGACTTACTAGCTTTGTGATTCAGTAGAATAAAGAAAATCTTAATTAAAAAAAAACAAAAAAACAGGAAGGCTGCATGCATGGCAGGGAGGGAGCCCTGGCCAGCAGGCGAGGCTGAAGCCGTAGGCTCCTGCTTAGGCCAAGCACGGAGTGAGGCAATTTTTGCTGTGGGTTCTCTGACTGCCTGAGGGAAGAGTCAGTACTTAATTCAGCAGGCATCAGGGATGACTGAGAAACAAGATCATAACCACAGCAATAAACTCGTTAAAAATTTAGAATACAATTTATAGCAAGCTGGGGGTACCTGAATAAGACAAAGTCTTTGTCCTAGTCTGAAACCCCTGAAGATTTTCTCCCATTAAAAGAGCTCCTACTTCAATCAGTAGGAGGACAAGAACAGATGAAAAGTGTGGGCCACAGACAGCTAATCTGGTACAAAACTACGTGCAGAATGTACTCTCACGAATTCACTATTCGTGGTTTACGGAGCAGAGTTTAAGCACCCATGATTCAAAGTAGGATCACTACTTCAATTCAGCCTGCTCTGTCTGTACTAATAATTTCATTTCCGGGTTGATCTAATATATTGCAGTGTATAAGTATTTCTGAGCATCCTCACTTACCTGCATTAACATATAGTAGATTCCAGCCATGCCATGGGCTGCTCCGACATACTGCTTCCTGTGCCACTGATATAACAGGGGGCAGCGCTCAGTTTTTCTTTCTTCTCTTGATAAAGTCTTACCCGATTCAATGATAGCATTTACTACCTAGAGACAATAAGACTGCTAAATCTAAAAAACTTACATGCATCCTGCTCTAGTTTAATTAACACAAACAACATGTCTTTATACATATATATAAAGAGAGAGATTACTTAATCTAAAAATCTTTAAAGAGTTAGCAGCTGACATAGTTATCTTCACTTTATAAATTAACAAATGCAGGCAGAGAGAAATTAGAAGACAATATCAGACTAGAAAAAGATAAGAAGTCTAACTAAGAAATCAAGAGTTCTTTGTATGAAAAGGCTATTCAAATCTAGAAAAATTTCCTATAAAAACTGTTCTGAACTTTTAGTTGCTTTGTACCTGCAATGTTTTCCCCCCAAAGACTGGCAAGCACATCTTCCAGGAAAGGCTGGAGGAACTGGCTTTATTTACGAGAGGCTGAGGATTTTAGTTGGATCAAAATAATGTCACGTCTGGAATGACCACATGGCAAAGACACTAATTGTTTCCTCACTTCCATTCTCCTCTCATCCTTTTGGTAAAGTACTCCAAGTTCTAGCTGGGCATCTGGCCTCCTAGCCAGAGACATCTGAACACGGTCATCTGACTGAGTTCTGGCAATGGGATGTGAGTACAAATGAGGGGGGCAATTTGTAGATGGAGCCAGTCCTGCTTCCCCCCCTTCCTCAGGCAGGGGTGCTAAGTGAGCTCTGGTCATGCAGACAGGGCGCCCCCAGGAAATGGTAGGACAGGACAGAAGAAGCCGGTCCCCAGTCACAGCAGCCAGGACTGCAAATCAGTTCAGACATCTCATGAAAGAGAAATACACATTCTAACTTTCTGAAGCTGCTGTTGTTTGGTTCCAGTGAAAATGGCTGAATTAATAAAGGATGAAGAAGAGTACAAACTTTTTGTTAATGTTCCCAGAAAAAAACAAGGGCTGTTGTTTACTTTTTAAGAGATGCTTTAAAAAATTACTGCTACCTAGAACAAGAGTCCAGCTATTAGAATAACTCTACGCTAACAGGAATGGCAGAGATGAGCGCAGCGTACGCCCACGGTTGTCGGCAACCCCACATACCTCTTTAATGGCTGACTCACACACGGTGCCTGGCCCGATCTCTGTGTTCAGGTACATTAAGGCATACAGATAACCTGCCCGTCCATACAGCAGCTCATCAGGAAGGTCTGACTCTTGGCAGACAATGGCTTTCTGGAGCTGCAAAAGTCTAACCAACAAGAAAAATTCTTGTTTTCTCAGAGAATGTCTAAATTACCTCTTCCCAAAACACTAAGTAACCCCATCACTTTAGGAATTACCTGTCATTCATTTTTAAATTTAAAACTATGATTTTAAAGAATAACCAAATACTCAGAAAATAACAAAAATTTCTCTGTGAAACTAATTCCTCTAATGAATGTCAAAATTAAAAATAAAACATCTTTCTGTTCAAAATTTCTATTTTTTTATCTATTCTAAACCAAAGATAGAAGATATTTCATTTTAAAATCCAGAATTAAAAGAATGCAATTTAAAATCTACTATAAATAAAATGGTATTGAAATGTAGTCAATGCTTGGGAATTACCTTGTGATTGTCTTTCAACAAACATTAATTTACTAGCATGTGCCAGATACTCTGCCAGACCCTACGAATGAGCCCTGATTTCCTCTTCTTCAAGGAAGAATGTAAGCCAATAGGTGTAATAAAAGCTTATATTCCCTAATTGTTTCATCATTAGCACATCTAATCAGTTACTTAAAGGCTGAACCTAAGATTAATTTAGTTATTATAGTGGATCTAAGGCATGTAAGCTATTACAGTTTTCATGCACTAAAGACAACCAAAAATTGCTTAGAAAAAATGGTTAAAGTAATTCAAAGAAACATGTTTACTCCCCCCAAAATTAAGAAACACACATGCTTGGAGAGGAAAAGAGCATAAGATCCCACCATTATGCTCAAGATTAACAGACAAACTTCCTCACTTGTTGGACAGACCTGTTTGCAACAGGGGATGAATTAAAAAATAATTTCCTTTTTCAATATCTTTCTACAGCAAGAGCTTCAACCAAGAATTGGGAGAAAATATTTCCAGTTTTAAAAACTCACTTTGTAACGCATTCCTGGGACTCACAATCACTTTTGAGTTTATGATATATCACAGCTCCTACAGCAAGGGGCCCAGCATCTCCACAGAGGAAGGTGACCCTGCGGCCATTCAGATTCCTAAGTGTTCTCTTTACGTAATCCAGGGACCGGAGCAGGTAAGTCTGGTCACATGTGACCCGGTACAACTGCAGGTACAGAAGGGCTATGCCTGGAATAGTTCCCCACCCCAAAAGAAAAGCATTATTACCTTTTTGCCTTCCGGACATTATTTTGTAAGTACATGAAATATCTTCTTCTACATAAATGCTATAGTTCTGAATGGGCAATGTCAAACAAATTAGATATCATACATTTCTTAAAAATGGGAAGAAAAAAAAACAACCAAGACTGAGAAATCAAAGTGGAAAGAACATAAAACAAATGTAAACATATTTTCTCACTAATTGTCCTGGCATAGTGATTTAATACCTCCTACTCTTAGACAAGGGAGATTACACCACTTCCCACTCATTCCCAGTTAATTTTCATTCATTCCAAGGTTTTATCCACGCACCTTTGTATCTTAAGCTAATTTGGGTCCTTTTTCTTTTTACTTCTCATATAATCATATCTGGCTATGTTATGCCAAATTAAATTATTACTTTTCTGGATTTTATACTCTCTTCTTCCTATTTTTTCTATTTTCACAATTTTTCAATTTTCTTTATCAAACAATCCATCCAATGGACCAACCGACCAGCGAATGAAACATTTATGAAACTCCAACGCGATGTAGAGCAAGGTAGCCAGTGCAGAGGGTATAGCTCATCACCTATCCAACCTTCTTATTTCAGATTAAAGAATAGACCCAGATCTTCAAACGAATCAGAAAAGGGTCTTTGTCTGAAAATCTCTGGAGGAGGACCTGTATGGCTTCCTAAAGGAGCACCTTCTTATGCCCAGATTCAAGAAGTCAACATGATAGCTAAGTAAAAAATGAATCAGTATAAATATATACTTTAATAAAGCACATTACAGAAAAAAGTACTGACAGAGATGACATGATGGGGAAAAGGAAAAACAAAACATTTCTTTAATGTTTGAATTGAGGTTCTTCAAAGTTCTGGTCTTTGTCTAACATCCTACTCTTTTATTATTTTTTATTTTGCTTTTTAAATTTCTCTAAATATCTAGCTTCTTCTTTCTTTAATTCTTCTATTCAGGGTATACCACTTCTCTTTCAAATTAATCCTTAACACCTTTTCAAATTTTTATTGAGAAGTCCTTCTTTTATCATTATCCATTTCTTTAAAGATGTTGAGTCAACAGATCTGAAAGTAGCATATTTGGAAGCTCTGAAAAAAAATTCTTTATGAATTACTTACCACCTCCTTGAGTGCATGTTTTCTCTATCTGAAAAACGTAAATTATAAATGTACAGAAAACCGATAGTAAAAGTTAAATATCTATAAATTTCAAACAATATTCACTATAAAAGGCTTTCAAACAAGTACTCCCTCATTGATTCAGAAATCTCTAAAAACAGGATGCTGATCTGGTTAACCTGTCAACTCAAAAAACTGTAACTATGTATATTTAATGCTTGAGTATTTTTAAGTAAATGATGACAGATAAAGGGAAAAAAAAAGTCATTCTCACAGACCTGGAGGCTAGGGGAAAAATGGTCACCACGCTTTATAACTTTTTGGTTGCAAGGCGGACATGTTGCAGTAGGTAACAGGCCCTGCAGTGAACAGGCCTCAGGGAGGGACAGGTGTGGAGGAGGCAGCGCCACGGTCCGGATCAGGTCTTTCTGTCTTCGGGAGCCCGTGCCCCCGCACCGTGGCCTCACGCTCAGTGGACAGGACGGCTAGACGGAGCTGCAGTTCCTGCGCTTCCCAGCACGGAAGGCTGGGGCCAGTTGCTGGCACCTCCCCTCCCCAGGCCCGTGAGCCCCTGAGAGCAGGCCTGGTTAAGAAAGAACTTGCTCTGACCTATTTCCAAATAGTTTTTGCACCTTCCCCTACAAGAAGCAGCACAGGGGAGGGGGATTTTCTCCAATATTCAGATACTCACTGTGAGGACCTAGTGGAGCTCTCAAAGGTAAAACTCGTAGAAGTGTGGGAGCCTCACTATGACTTGGTCCCTGGCAGTTATTTTTGTTTTTGTTTTTAAACTTAAAATCTGAATACCTTGTATTGTCTGCTCAACCTCCAGGAGTTTTTAATCTCTCAGACTTGTCCGCTCCAAGCTGCTAGCAATTCATCGTTACAGTTTAAGTCTTCCACCCTGGCACCAGTTCCTGCAGTGGCTTCTGCTCCATTAGCGGTACACTCCGTGCCACCTAATGACATTTCCGTCGGCAATGAACCACACATACAGGTCCCATAAGATTTTAATACTGCAATCACACCAGTCCAATCTGGCTCCACTTTATGTAACAAAGCTGTGAGTTGTTTTCCAGTTGCCACGGACCCCCAGGTTGGATGGAGAGCACCTAACTTGAGCATGCCCAGGTGAAGTAAGCATGCAACCACAGGTAGAACCTGAGTGCTCAGACCCAGCAGCGGGGAACGAATTATGAAGCAGATGTGCATGGCAGGGTCCGGGATCCAACCAGACGGAGCCCTGGCGTCACCCCAAGGCATGGTCCAGTCACAGCGCGCCTCCTGGCATCACCCCACTGCAAGATCCCATCAGATCACGCCTCATTACCCTAGGTTTATAAAACCTGACCCAGCCCCAGCTCGGGAGACAGAGTTGAGCGTTTCCTCCCGTCTCCTTGCCAGTCAACTTACGATAAAGCTTTTTCTTTTCTCAAAGGCTGGCGCCATGGTATTGGCTTCTGTGTGCATTGGGCAGAGACCTCACTGACTGCTTGGTAACAATACTATATTTTTATCATACCTTTTCTATGTTTAGACACATAAATCCTTGCCATTGTGTTACAACTGCCCACAGTGCTCAGCACAGGACCATGCTGTGCAGGTTTTCTTTTCCTTGTATCATGAATGCGATAAATTTTTTCTTAAAATTTGAATACACAGGATTTTTCTGGATCAACTATTAACAGGAAGAATCCCTAGAAAAGGAAAAAGGTTTGAGTAGCTTTCCCAGTTTTTGTTCACTTGCTTGTCTGTAATCACAAGGGTATCCTCTTCTTGCTAAGTGATAAACAAGTTGAATATCTGGTAACCTTTGGTGGCAGATTTCCTTTGGCTCTCAAATCTTTTCTTGTGTCAGGAGAGTGCCCGTCACTGCTGCTCCCTCCCTTCCATGCGCTGCTAGCCAGTGCCACCAGGGTGCCACTGCTGCCTGCAAGTCAGCCCCTCTTCTTTAGAAGCAGTGCCTTTTTCAAAGATCTGTAACCTCTGTTCCCTGTGAGCTTTCCCTGCCTTCTACCTCTGCCTCTCCCGGCACCACCTGTCCACTTTGCGCTCAGATACGCCCACGAAGTTCCCACTGAGGTTGCAGCCCACTGCTTCTGCCTCTCCCGGATCCTTTGGCTTTCCTCACCTGCTACACTACGTGTGGATGCTGTTTGTTTTTCACCTAACATTATTTGTATGTTTTCTCTGTCTCGTAGTTTTGCTGAAGGAGTAAGTTGTGGGTGCTTCATTTACTTTTCTTCCTATATTATATGGTTTTAGGGAAGGTATGCGACTAATCAGATTCAGTACTTCTACCTGAACCCCCAAAGCCCTAAGTATTACTTTAAATCATTGAAACCAAATACCTCCATGACAGTTCTACCAGTGATTCCAAAAGATGGCAACAGATGGGGATTTTTTAAAAAAATAGAGACGGGGTCTCACTCTGTCCCCCAGGCTGGAGTACAGTGGCACAATCATAGCTCACTGTAAACTCGTGGCCCCAAGCAGTCTTCCCATTTCAGATCCCGCGGTAGCCAGGACTACAGGTGCGCACCCACATGCCTGGCTATTTTTTTTATTTTTCATAGAGACCAGGTTTCACAACGTTGCCCAGGCTGGTCTCAAATTCCTGGCCTGGCCTAAAGCCATCCTCCCGCCTGAGCCTCCCAAAGTGTTGGGATTACAGGTGTGAGCCACCATGCCTGGTTCAGATAGGGACTTTTAAGAAATACTGATTTCTGGACTCCATCTCCAGAGTTCTTAATATAATCATTCTGGGCTAGAGGCTGAGAATCTTAGTTTATTCTAAAGCTCTCTAGATGATTCTGATGCATAGCCAGTTTTGTGCCTAACCCCCAAGGGATTAAAAACCCTTACAAGAGTAAATGCTGCAAGTAAAAGACTTTTTAGGGGAAACCTGTGCTACTAATAGCTATGTTATTTTCCTTCTAATTCTTTGTATTTTACTTCAGGCTAACCACATTTATCTAATTTTATATTTAGAATAAATTTCTTTGGTCCTATAAGTGAACTAACTCTATGTCTTTCCGGCTTTATAAGTTTGAAGTTTGAAAAAAGTTTGTAAGTTTGAGATATTTAATGTCGCTAAGTAAATGTTATATGCATAATGGGCAAATAATAAATGAATATAAATAAAAATACAAATACAACATTATAAGGGCCATAATGTTTGGTTCATGGTGGCTTTTAACATGTATACTTGTGTCTATATGCTGTTTATTAATTAAACTATAAAAACTTAGCAAGAAATAGCTCTAAATTAAACTGTCGTCAGGGCTTTAGCCAGACTTCAGAGTAATCCCCGAGAACAAGATCTGTCTTTCATGGCCTTTATACACCCCAGATAGCCATTACGATGTCCTGGCTATCTGGTAAAATAGTAAGAATGTAAAAATTAGTTAAGGCAAGTTAATTTTGATATTGTTTTTTGATGTGAAGTGTATTACTAGTTAACTGCTATCATTAAAATAAAAACTTTATGTATACAAATGAGTACAAGCAGTAGGTTAAATAGTTCACGTAAGAGACCAGAGAAGCCATTCAACCACAACTTGTCACAAAGACCAAAGCAACAAAAAAATTTAAAAATTGACTCTAGGGCCAGTTTGTTCTTATTATACATTTTCTTTTTTTTTGAGACAGTGTCTCACTCTGTTGCCCAGGCTAGAGTGCCATGGCATCAGGCTAGCTCACAGCAACCTCAAACTCCTGGGCTCAAGCAATCCTTCTGCCTCAGCCTCCCGAGTAGCTGGGACTACAGGCATGCGCCACCATACCCGGCTAATTTTTTCTATATATTTTTAGTTGTCCAATTAATTTCTTTCCATTTTTAGTAGAGACGGGGTCTCGCTCTTGGTCGGGCTGGTCTCGAACTCCTGAGCTCAAACAATCCTCCCACCTCGGTCTCCCAGAGTGCTAGGATTACAGGTGTGAGCCGCCATGCCCGGCCTCTTATTACACATTTTCACAGATAGCTATATATTAGGTTAAATAAATAATGTTATAAAAATATGACATATTACTATTACATACTAAGTTCAATCTTCGGGCAAAAAGCATTTCTTTAGAAATAAAATTCCAAAGCACCTCATCATTGAAGACATAGATTTCATTTTAAGGGCATAAAATTTTAACAGTTTAAAGAAAAGAAAATTTCAAAGCCAAATCTTATATCTCATAATCCAAGAATAAAACACATCAGTTACTTATATCTGTATTCTCACCTGTCCAGCCAGTGTAGGCAGAGCAATCATGTGGATCTGCTGTCTTCAGCCCTTCTTCCATCTGCTGCAGAAGATCTTTGATTTTGGTCTGGATCCGCCTTGTGAAATTATGAATGATCTGAGAACCAAAAGAAGAGATAATTTAAATAGCACAATAGGCCAATTTGTAATAAACACTTTAACAATCTAAGTTGTACGAACACAACAGAAAGAAGTTATTTTACCTGGCCCATCTCAATGTTTCATTGGCTGAAATCCACTTTTTAAAAAATTGTTATTATATTTTTTGTAGAGTTGGGGTCTTGCTATGTTGTCCAAGCTGATCTTGAACTCCTGAGCTCAAGAGATTCTCCCACCTCAGCTTCCCAAAGTATTGGGATTACAGGTATTAGCCACCACGCCCAGCCTACCTTGGCTTTTATAAGGTTTATTTTTTTAATGAGATAATGCCCTATATGGACTGTAACTCATAAGTAGAATTACAAAAAACAACTTGCAGAAACCAAAGAAAAAAGCCATAAAAAAAGATGGATATGACTACAAAAACATTTTAACTTCTATAAGATAAAGAACAGAAGAAAGATGGTTTAAAAGCTACTGACAAAGGGAAATATTTCCAATATAAGATATCATAAACCAACAGAGAACACAATACAGAAATAGACCCCAAATTTTTAATGCACATCATACAGAAGAAACATAAAATGATACGCATATGCAAAAAATGTTCAACCACTTAGTGATTAATGAAACGCAAATAAAAACAAGTACCACGGTTTTCCTATTAGATTAACAAAGAATAAAACATTTAAAAGGTATTAAGCCCCAAGGCTGCTAAGAGCAAAGGAAACAGGTATTTATTATTATTGCTGGTAATCCCAAGAGAAATATGCAATAACCTTAGCTGCTCTAGAGGATACAATACATATCCAACACCTTCCACAATCCATTTGCAGTTAGTAATGTAGAAACCTTGAAACCACAGAGGCTCATCTCCTACCCCTAGTCCTTTCTCTTATAGTTGGTATATGTATCATACAGCTACGTGAGAAATAAATCCTATAACATAATGCTGTAACTTTTGCTTAAAAAAACAATTCCCTGTTTTGTAAGCAAATTAAGAGGTAAAAAGGCAGAGAGAAAAAAACAATTTCTGCATATACCCAGATATCTACCATTTTCAATGCTCTTCCTCATTCTTTTCTTAGAATATTAGTTTCTATCAGGTAGCATCCCCCCTTGGCATTTCTTGTGGTGCTAGTCCACTTTAACAAACCCTCTTAGGTGGTGGTGTTTTTTAATCTGGAAACATCTTTACACTGCCTTCATTCTTGAAGAGTATTTGCACTGAATAAAGAATTCTCGGTGGTTTCCTTCAGGATTTTCACACGTTTCATTCTGGTCTCCACATCAGCCGTTTATCAAACTCCCTGTATATAATGTGCTGTTTATCCTGCTCCTTTCAAGATTTGTTCTTTATCTTTGCCTGGATTTGGGCTTCTTTGTGTTTATCCCTCTTGGTATTTGTTGGGCATTCTGTATCTGTAAATTTCTGTCTTTCATTGGATTTTTAAAATTCTCAACTATTATTTCTTCAAATATTTTTTCTGTCCCATTCTCCTTCTGCTTTCCTTCTGTGATTCCAACTACACACACACTGGATGGTTTGAGATAATCCAGCAGGGCCCTGAAGCCCTGCGTTTTTCCCTTCCATCTTTTTTCCCGTTTTTCACACTGCGTGATTTCTATTGATCTACTTTCAAGTTCACTCATTTTCTTTCTTCTGTCTTCTCCATTCACCTACTAAGACCATACAGTGACTTACTAGTTTCAGATGCTGTATTTATTAGTTCTAAAATATCTATAGTATTCTTTTTTTATGGTTTCTATTTCCCTGCTAGGATTTCCTCATTTTTCATTCATTGAAAGTATATTTTGTTTAACTTCACAGAGGACAGCAAAAGCAGTCACTTTAAAACCCATGTCTGCTAGTTTCATTACCTGGTTCATTTCAGGATTAGGCCCAGTTAATTTTCTTTTCTCTTAAAAATGTGTTTCTCATGAAGGAAGAATATGCCTTTCTGAAATAATTATTTTGAGCTGAAGGCTCCAGAGAAGCAGATACAAGAAAAGCTCTCTGCCTTCCTCCGCTTGCCTGGAAGGAGGACATAGGTCCATAAAGGCATCTGTCCCCCCTCAACCAGTGAAGGCCACTTTGAGCAGTATCAGCTGGGAAAGGCGCCACAGAAATCTACACAGCAAACTCCATTTGTTCGCCGTCCTGTGACGTGCCCCTGCCAGAAACTCAAAGTCCTTTTCCTGTCTTGTCACTTCTCTAAAAATTTACTATTCTCTGTTGAAAATGCAATGTAAGTCGCATTTCTAAGCCCCTTTGAGATTTACTCATTCCCTACGTATCCCCAATATATTTATGAAATTTACACGTTAATAAACTTGTTTTTCTCTTGTTAATTTGCCTTTTGTTACAGGGGTCTGTCCCAGCTAAGAACACCGAAAGGTAGACAGAAAATTATTTTTCTTCCCTAAATCATTTTCTTGGTTCTTCATGTATCAGATAATTTTGATTTGCACCTGGAATGTTAATTTGCAGACTGTTATCTTGCTTGTATAGAATTGCAAATTCTGTTTCTTGGGCAGCAGCTCTGGTCTCACTCCACATCTTTCGTCTTTAATTGAGCTTCTTTGAGTCTGTTCCAGGAATGTATCTTTCAAAATTTGGTTAGGTACACATTTAGACAAAATTTGGAGATTCCCTTCTTTGGCTCATCCCTCTTCCCCATTGTCTTTAGCAGCCATGATTATCCATAGTTTTCTGGTTTTCCTGAAAACAGGTTTGTCCCATAGGCACCCCCTGCCACCACTGTGTACACCACATAAATGGCACTTAGCTTCAAGATAAAGACCTGGAGACAGGAACTTACTCCACAGGGCTCCTCTCCTCCAGCCATACCTGATAACCATATTCCACAGAACTTGGACGTGACACAAAACTATTTACAACCATGTACTATAGAATTTAGACAAAATACAAAAAAGCAATTACACTCTGGTCTGCTTACTATCCAGTGCCTTTGCGTAGTTGCTCTTCATATTATATTCAAGCTTTACAACTGTTTTATAGAGGGAATCCTCCAGTAGGGAATAGCCCACCATAGCTGGAAGTATAAGTTCCTTATAGAATTGCTTTTTAAGTTAAAAAAAAATTCAGTCTATTCCCCTTTTTGTGTACCCAAGGTATGTATAATATCAATAAACCCCATCCCTGCCCACATTTTTAAGCTATCTATCGTAAGTAATAGCTGAGCACTAAGAGATGGGTACATCCATTTTAAGACCAACTCAAGAGGATTTAAATGCAGACATTTACAAGTAGACACATTTCTGCCATAATCTGGGTATTGAATATGATTTTCCCCCTTAACATTATATTTATTAGTTTGCCCAAGGTTATAATGGGCAGCTAGACAATGGATTCTATTAAGTGATTAAAACATAGCATTAGCTTTCAAATTGTATCTTTTCATTAAATATTATTCAAAGTAATAATTTAAATACAATAATTTCTACTCAATCATGGTGGTAAAACACCTTCCCTTATGAGAAAAGCTGAGCTAGAAATCTAAGGCCAAAAACAACTTCATGAAAATCTTTATAAATATGTTTACTTAAATAAAATGATAAAGACAGTAGTACATCAATGAATGCAATATCAATATTTCACTGACCTCAAAGGTGATGTAATGAGTACTATGTAAACAGATTTCATTTTACCAATCTTTGCTTATTAGCAATGCTTTCTGGATTTGTCATTCCCTATAGCTTTGATGATGAGCTTTTAAATATATTTTACTTTGATGTTGTTAATGCACCAAAAATAATAATTGATTCTCCATCCAACTTCTTAATAACTTTTTGACTCCAAGTTAGTAATTTAAGACTCCTGAGTCTTACCTTTGGTTTCCACTGTGACCAAAGAGACACAAAATAATTTGCATGATAAGGAAAAATTAGGATAATATCTCACTAATACCTGGCGTGGCAGAGCCTGTAATTTAGTACCTAGCCCATATCTATTTCCCATACCCTCTTCCCTCTTAACAAGAATTCTGATTATACTCAGAACAGTAATGTATCAAGCCTGGGAAGAGCTACTTGCTTTCCCATGTGACAGTTCTGATCAATGACACCTAAGCACAAGTCTTCTAGGAGATCTTGGAAGGTTCTTATTTTTCTTGATAAAAGAGAAAGAAATACATATTTAGCACTCCCCTCATTTTTATCCCTTCTCCCTCCTAAAAATCTGGACGTGATGTCTGGAGCTACAGCAGCCTTCTTGTACTATAACAGAACAAACATGAGAGAAAGACCAAACTAACTGCAGAAATCCTGGCCCTGATCTTGCTGAAGCCAACCAACACCACAGCTGCCTACCTCTAGACTTCTCATTACATAGGGAAAGCAATCTAATGAAGATACTTCTAAATTGAGTGTTTTGTTTATTGTAACTGAAGGCAGGACTAACTCATACTGATATTGGGTGCTAATTCTGTCACAGTAACTTAATTCCAAAGCATATGCTATTAACCCTTTATTTCTCACAAATGTTCCTGAGGTATGTTTTTAAGGCTTATGATTACTTACTCTAACTCCCTTTAATATTTTCTAAACTTTCATTACAAAAATCATTTCTCTGCCGTTTGCTTTTAGGTATTTTTTGTAGTTCCTCTTTTTCTAACTACTTCTCATAAAAGAGACTTCTAATTTATTTATACTGGAACCAAAATCTCTTCAACAAAGAAAATTTATTACACTATAATTCTATTTGGATTTGAAGGAGATTACTGTGCCAGGAGAAATTTGAACTGGCTCATCTCATTTAATCATGGCATTATTACAAAGGTAACTAATAAGCACTGATTATATGCCTGGCACTAAGTGCTTTACATGATATTTCAATGAATCTTCACATCACCCAAAGATTCTGTTTCTTAGGTGAGAAAACTGAGGCTTACTCATGGTCACATGACAATCAGGCTGTCTGATTCTAAAGTTCCTGGGCTTCACATGCGCTGCTTACTGTAAAATTTTTTTCTTGAT